CAAAAGGCAAACACTATGAAATACATGAATCGGAACGAAAAAGTAACCCAAAAATCCAGCCTAATCACCGGCTCCTAAAACTGCAACACAATCAGCACTTTTCCCCGCAACTCGTTGTCCAGACGTAAATATGCGATCAGAAAAGAGTGTTCTCTCACTCTATGGTAAATTTATAGCCATAAGTCTTCGTTATCAAGGCATTATGACGGTGCAAAGACGACCATGCCTTTTACGCGTAAAACTTGCAATTTGTAAGCGTTTAATTATAAAGATTTGCAAGTGAATGGTCAAAAATATATGTATTCTGAAAAGGTCAGATCCTCTTTTAGTCCGTGAAATGCATCCCGTGTCATTCGAGTGCATCGTTTTCAAATGCCAACGTTTTTCCTGAAATGTGTAAAAAATGCCCGTTTTCTCGAGATTAGAGACCATTTCTTTGCACGTGGTACATACCTAAGAACAAAACTTATTGCATACGATAGACCCATCTCTTCTGTATCCATCAGTGAAAACCGCATGTCGCTGCGACTTACGGTTGCCGAGATATAATCCCGGGAAAGGAGCGCTGCAGGCCCGATTTTCGCCCGTTGGCGGTTTTCGCCGGCCACGTGTTAAGCCTATGGGAGCACCCTTTTGCACGTGCCGACGGCGCACCCCTGGGCCGATCACCCCTAAATTTTAATACAAAGGCCGCCCACGCCCACAGATTCGGCATGCCAAATTTCACGTCGCTACGCGGCGCCTTTCAGGCGCAATAAGACACATAAGACATGACACACGCACGCACGCACGCACGGACAACTTATAATTCATAATAGGTACACGAGGTGGCATACTTTGCTAAGACCCTGTTTGAGGCGATGGACGGTCCAGGTACCAAAGACGATGTACTCATCAGGATCTCATCAGGACGATGTACCCATCATACTCGATTAAAGTAATGTACCAAATTTGAGCGCAATCGGCCCAGCCGTTCTTGAGATATAAAAGCGGCCCGCTGCACGTGCACACGCGCTAACTGAGACTCTAGATGACTTGTGCCAGCCACCCTTCTAAATTGTTCCTAACGGTGTACAAAATTTGAGCGAAATCGGCCCAGCCGTTCTTGAGATGTATAAGTGGACCCCTCACGTGCGCACGTGCAATCGATCCACCCTACCTGTCACACATGACCATGCATCGCCAGATGAGTGCCCCCTCCACCCACAGTCCAAGTTTCAGCGCAATCGGCCCAGTAGTAGCTGAGTTATTCCTAGTACAATAATGTGCTGTTTATTGGTAGGCGCTTATTTTCAGTGTTTGGAATTCCCCTTTACGGGTGGTGCATTGCAGCCCATGCTTTGATAGCTATTGTGAAAAGTTGTATGACTTGCCGGCCATAAGCTATCGATCGGATTTTGTCGAAAAATACCGGTAACGTTAACAAAACACGGTCACATGCTTGAGTCATTTTCACAAAAGTTTATTAACTTTTCGTTAATATTTTGGGTGGATATTGGTCAGAAAAGAATGCTCTTTCCGAATATGTAGGTATCATAGCGATTGATCAGCGTTTTCAATACGTTTTGATGTTGTAAAGGACGTCGCGCTCCGCGCGAATCAAATTTTCAAATTAATTTTTCATTATTAAGGAAATGGCGCGGATCATCAGTTTTTGTTTGCTATTCTCTGATTACACATACATTTGTCTGCAAAATGATACAACACCGATTTCATTCCGTCAAGCCGTTTTCCAGCGGCATCGAATTTCCCGTCACAGTGCACGAAATCGGTCATTTTTTCACAACTGGGGGTGCTGCCTTGCACGTGACGCGTGCTATACTATGAAACCATATCAATACGGTAGTTCCATCTCTCCTCTATCCATTGGTGGCAACCGCTTTTCGCTGCGTCCACCCATTGCCGAGATATGGGTGGACGTCGATCGGTGACAGCGGTCAGGGTCGGACGTGCGTGCGGTGCTCCGATCCGCTCGGCCGTGCGCTTCGGAGTCGCGTGCGACCACCGCGTCCTTTGGCCCACGGAGCCGGTGACTTTTTGATTTCCTGTTTGCGTTGAGCAGCCATGGTGGCTGCTTAAGCTCCGAGGCGCGGAGCCTGCAACAGTGCAGACAACAGAAAGAAAGTGAACTTTTGCATACCCTCGTCGCGTGTGTGCCATGTCTCACGCGGCTAGCAGCAGCGAAGGCGCTGAGGACAACGAGCGCGCCGTAGCAGTGAGTGACCAACTGCATGTGGGTGGACACGGTGAACGCCAGTCGGTGAGCGAGCTGGTGAAGACTTATGGTGACTCACAAAGTGATAGCCAGAAACGTGATCGCTCGGAGTCGGGCGACCCCATGCCCGCTGGAAAGCGCAGCGCCAGAGACCGTAACGGGGAACCAGCTCGCAGCCCGTCCACCTTCGGCGGCCGCAGCTTCAAGGACCACCTGGATGCAGCCATTGAGGGTCTCGAGAGCCGTGTCACACTGTCGCTTTCACGCGACCTTCACGAGTTTCGAGAGACGCTCATGACGGAGATCGACAAGCTCAATGAGCGAGTCAAAGACCTGGAGAAGCATGTGGAGGAAAGGGACGGCGTCATCGCTGAACTCCAGGACGAGCTCCATCATTCAAGAAAGGAGACAGCTGCCCTGCTCACCCGTGTGGAGGAAGCAGAGATTAACTCTCGCTTGCCGTGCCTCATCCTCTCAGGACCGGCCATGGCGTCCCGACGCGCTCCCCGCCTGGAGCCGCCCCTGGCCGGCCAGACAGCGCCCGGGGCGACGGCCGGTTCTGGGTCGGGTGCACCCGCGGAGCCCGCCGACCTCAGCCGGGGTCAGGCTGCCGTGACGTCACGCGACCAGCGCACAGTGTGGCCAAACACCAGTTTAGCGCGAATTAAATCCCAGCGCTGCTCGGATCCGTTGAAAATGGTTCCCTGGTTTCAAAATTGACACTTAACCTGTGTGAGACCTTTTACGATGCATTATTAATGCTTGCTGTCATATAATGGCATAGTTCCGCCTCTAAAAGTAAGGAGAACTAGCTTACGACGGGTGATGTGCTTACCAGGCCAGGGCTATAAAGTCGATGGAGTTACTCCGACTCCGACTACGGCTTTCAAAAGTAAATTTCAACTCTGACTCCGGGCAAAACTGTCGACTTATACGATCGACTCGGACTCTGACTCCGCAGCCATGGCAAGTCCACGCAGTCGATGGATTTTCGGTGACTGAGACTACGAGTCTTGGTCCGGATTCCAAAATCGATTCCGATTCCGACTCTGACTGCAAGGTCAGAACTGTTGACTCCGAACGACTTCGACTCTGATTACGAAATCCTGGAATTTAACCGCAAATAAGAGGCATAAAATTGTGGGTCCCAGCAATGATGGGCATGTTAGGAGGAGGAATCGTTTACGAAATTCCCATCATTTCTCTGGTAAATTCTTATGATTGTCCAAAGTTTGCTTGAAAAAATCAACATCTAATTATGTTTCTCTGTGAATGTTCCTGGTGAAGCACATGAATCGGTAGATGGTTGCTGAAATACACGCACCGATAGGACTGAACCTCAGCAATGGGAGTAAAAATAACGACTTACACCATAAGCACCTTCATGTCATTAACCCTCGCCTGTATTGGTGTTTTGCTAGCCGCGAACGTAGGTCGGGTCAGGTCAGGTCAGGCCAACCAGTCCTGCCGGGTATTCATAATTAATAGGTGTCAACCGCCAGTGACAGCTTCGTTGCATGTTACGAAGGCACCAAAACTTCTTCCTAAATGTTCAAATGGTTACTTAATTGGAAATCAGCTCCAAAAACTAGCCTGGAAACATGTAAAACTAAAAAAGGTGAACCAAGGTAATCAAAGGTCATTGAACTGACCTGACCTTCAAGTGATCTTGTTTGTTAGTTTGTTAATTGGGGCTTTAGGGCGCGCCGACTACTTAGGTCATTTTGCGCCCATCAACACCGACCATAATGCATGGGATCAACATCATAATGTCACATGTTTAGACGCTTGAAACCACGAAAAGACTGCAAACGCGCGGCTAATGCAAGCAAACATACGCCCAATCGCGCTTCCGGCCAAACATGGTCTCGAGAAATCGGTCACAGGTCAAAGGTCATTGGGGTCAGGGTCGTGAAATTTAATGGGTAGGTGTAAAATTGATAAACTCGAGGGTACTGAAAGTTTCGTCGCGATCGGCCGCTTTTTACATGAGCTTTTGGCGAAAAACCGAGAGGGGTCCTTTCGACCCCCACCCTCACCCCCTACATGGGCGAGGGTTGAAAATTTGTCAAGATTTATTCATTGGCGACCGTATTCTGCAATATAACAAGTCAGAAATACAGCGGTTGAGCCATCCGCGTAACGTTACGGAGCCGCCGCCGCGCCCACCCTGTAGCCGGACCTCCCCGGGCGGGCCAACCCGATACGTTCAAAGCTGAGCCAAAGGCCGGGGGGCAGGTTGGGGCAGGGTTTCTTGAATGGATCATGTCCAGAAGAGTGTGGTGAATCTTCTCATGGTAGATTTGGCGTGGAGTTTTTTGGCCATTTTCTTATATCTCTACGATTTTAAGATGGACAGTGTTTTCAGGGGATGTTTGAAAAGGTCATTTTCAAATGAGCATAACTCGTCGGTTAGTCCAAGGATACCTATAGAATTCGGGTATACTATCAAATATAGGCGCAGTAGTCATATGCCACTCCAATTATTTCCAAACCTTTCCGACAATTACGCCAAAATGTGTTGTAAACATGACGCGGGTTTTCGACGATTTCAGCACAGCCGGGACCGGCATTGCGTATGTCCACTTTAGCTAGCTTTTTGGACACCGAAAGGAAGACATTGAACCAAAGTATTGTGATATTGACATACTTTGGACAATTTCCTATCGACTGATAGTTATAAAAAGTCAAAATTCCAAAATTCGTTTTTTGATTAAATTCGCGCTAATCTGGCGTTTGGCCACACTGTGCAGCGGGCCGAAGCAGAGGGGAGGAGGGCCGGTGAGTCGGCTTCGAGCGGCGGTGATGGGCGGAGTGACGGGCGGGGTCGGGCGGTGGCGCGCGGCAGCGGTGGTAATGGTGCCTGGGAGCAGGAGGACATCAACGCACTCGTTGTTGCCACGCTCAACCAGTGCATGCCAGGACTCAACCTCGCCGAGAGTGATATAGACCGCGCCCATCGTCTCCCAGGCCCCAACCATCGAGTGATTGTGCCGTTCGTGCGATCGGGGCAGGGAAGTGTTCGCGACGCGGTGATGGCGCGGCGCCTCGAGCTGCGCGGGAAGGATCTCTACATCAACGAGTCCCTGACCAGACTCCGAGGTCTGATCTTCCGCTCGCTTCTAGCAGCAAAACGCGAGAAGAAGATCTACACGGTGTATTCGCGAGGAGGTCAGGTGTACTTTAAGGAGCAGCAGTTCGGCGTGGGAACCCGAGTCGACTCCCTTCAGCGGCTGACAGACCTGGGCTACACGGTCATCGAGCGCTGAACGAGCAGACGCTCCCAAGGTCAATCGATCGACGAACTGAGGGACTCTTGCGCGGCGGGTACCAATTCAGCCCTTGGAGGTAATGTTCAGAGCTTTTGTTTGAATGTTCGTGATTTTTAGGAGTGTAATTGCAATCGTAGTTTAAGCTGTTTCCTACTTGTCATTTAGCAGTATAATAACAGCGTTTTCCCGTCTTTCGATGTTAATTGATAGAGTAAAGAGATAGAGTCTTTGGCACACAATACGCATGTTATTGAAACGAAGCAATTAAGGGTTAGTTTCTAGTTATATTTGAGTTGCAGGCTCCGCGAAACGTTTTTGTTTCGTTTGTTTTTGTGATTATCTTTTTTAACGTATATGTCGTTTTCTGCTTGTTTTTGTCATGTATGGTTTAACTCTCTTGTACTACCGATCATATCCACAAGCACGCACACTCACGCATACATCTACACATCAACACACACCCCAACACACTCAGACAACGCACACTCATTCGTTCAATCAGAGATTTCAATGTGCTGCTCTCGATGGATTCCGTTTTTGCTTGAGCATACTGCATAATGGTTGATTTAAAATTTGTAACCGTAACCATAAATTGTAGAGGTCTTGGCGACTTGAGAAAACGTAGAGACGTTTTGAATTATATCAGAAACCAAAATCACGAGATTGTTTTCTTACAAGATACGCACAACACTGATGTGTCAACAAAGTACTTTAATAGCTTATGGCCAGGTAAATGCTACCATTCATGCCACACAAACCGTAGTAGAGGTGTAAGCATTTTGATTAAGCGAAACGTACAAAGCGAGATTATAGAAACAAAACATTCAGATTGTGGAAACTTCATTATAGTAGTTTGTAAGATTAGTACAGAAACCTATTTGCTCGTAAATATTTACGGTCCTAATAACGACGATCCAAATTTTTACCAAAAAATTATAGCTACAATGAGAACATACGATACAGATCACACGATTCTAGGAGGTGACTTTAATTTTGTAATAAACCCATCTGTCGATTCCTTCAATTACGCACGAGAGTACAACAGGAACGCAAAAGGGGTATTTCTAAGGTTTGCAAATGAAGATTCACTTGTAGACATCTGGAGAGTTAAACATCCATACCAATCAGAATTTACTTGGGCCAGAAATAATCCACTTAAATGCGGCCGATTAGATATGTTTTTTGTTAGTGAACACCTAGTAACATCAGTGCTTGAAACAAAAATTAAACCAGGATATAGGTCAGACCATTCCTTTGTAACAATGATCCTAAAATTACCTGAACTAGAGAAAGGACCTGGACTCTGGAAAATGAACGAGGCAGTTCTCCAAGAATCTGAATATAAAGATATGATAAATACGCTAATAAGAAATACTGTATTTCAGTATGCAGCTCCCATTTATAATAGAGAATTTGCAAACCATTTTTCAAACTACTCCTCGATCCAACTCACAATTAGTGATAGCCTGATGTACGAAACGCTACTAATGACCATTAGAGGCGAAACTATAAAGTATTGCAAAAGAAAAGCACGCAAAAGAAGAGAAAAAGAAGAGGACCTAAATAATAAGATTCAGTTAGCTCATCAAGCATTTAACAGAGATAAATGCGATGAAAATGCAAATCGTTTACGCAAAACTCAAGAAGATCTTGAGAAACATAGGAAACCATACATAGATGGGTTAAAGGGACCCTCCCACCTTCAAAGAAGTTAATGAATTGGCATGAAAGTGATGTCGCTCGGTTTAGAAAGAGCAAAAACGAATATCTACCAAATTTCATCGAAAAATATTCACCGGTTTTCAAGATATTAGACTTTTACTTTTGTTTACTTTTTGGGATCTCCGCTGTTCCTAGCGACTTTATTTGAAAGTGCGGCATTTGTTGCGCGCAAAGCAGCATATTCCATCGCGTCCTACAAAACGTTTTAGTCAAACATTTAACGGACGTTCGAAAGCCTGATGACGTCATCAGATTCCCGTAATGGTTAAGAGATAGGGACCACGCTGGTCCCACCCTGCAAGTAAAGGGAAGAAATTTCTTGAACACCATAAAGCTGCGGGGGTTGCGACCAGGATAAATGGTGGTTTCTGAGCCTGGCCGCAAACTTGGCTATCTCAACTCAAAACTAATGTTAAGGTGGGAGGGTCCCTTTAATAGTGCGGTCTAGAACACAATGGCACGAAGAAGGAGAAAGAAGCTCAAAATACTTTTTGTCCTTAGAAAAAAGGAACGCTGTTAAAAAGACAATACAATATATACAACATGAAAATAAAACAATAACAAAACAAAATAATATATTATCCCTTTTCACCCAAACCCTGCAAAATAAATATCAACGTAGGAAGGACAATGAGACGAATCCATCCTTTATTCAAAAGAACGTTAAAAATGCCCTATCGGATCGCGAAAAAGGGTTGCTAGAAAAAAATATAACACTTCAAGAATTAACAACATCCCTCAATAGTATGAAAAAAGGAAAAACCCCTGGCAGCAACGGATTTACAGTAGATTTCTTCCGTTCTTTCTGGGAACCACTAGGAACTTTATTACTCCGCGCATTTAATGAGTGTCATGACAAAAACTCCACAATACCAACACATCGTGAAAGCATCATTACTTTAATACCGAAAAGTGGAAAATCAAACCATGTGTTACAGGGATGGCGACCAATATCCTTGTTGAATGTTGATTATAAAATTATTTCCACGGCAATAGCAAACAGGTTTAAACAAGTAATAAGTAGCATAATAAGTCCCACGCAATCGGCTTACATAAAGGGACGATATATTGGAGAGAATACAAAATTAGTATATGATATTATAGCTTGCAATAAGTACCAAAATAAAGAGTACCAAATATTAGCTGCAGATTTTGAGGCCGCCTTTGAAACTATATCTTGGGATTACATGAGAGTTGTCTTGAAAAATATGAACTTCGGAATAAAATTTATAAATATTATTAATAACCTGTATTTAAATCAACAAAACTTTTCTCGAATATTACTCAATGGCTTTCTAGGCGAGAAAATCTACATACAAAGAGGAATTCGACAAGGAGACCCAGCATCAGGATATCTATTTAATATAGCGGTAGAAATTTTAGCCCAACAAATAATAAATTCACATAAAATATCAGGAGTTGCTATAAATACGCATACAGAAGTTCGCATCAGCCAATACGCAGACGACACTATCCTGTTCCTCGATGGATCTGAGCGCTCACTTGTAGGCGCAACTGAAGAACTAAATTATTTCTCGTCCCAATCTGGTCTGAAGCTCAACTGGAATAAAACGTCATGTCTGTTGCTCAGTCCAGTAGCTCCACCACAATTTCCAAACAATAGTATAGCACATCAAATAAAGTTTGTAGATGAAATTAAAATATTAGGGATACGATTTACTCGGGACGTTACCAACGTAACCGATCAAAATCTCGCATCGAAAATAACATCACTAGAAACCGAAATTAAACAATGGAAAAGACGCTACCTTACCCCAATAGGCAAGATTACGGTAATAAAATCATTGCTGCTTGCAAAACTTGTACATATATTAATGGCTTTACCGAACCCGTCTAAATTATTTATCAAAAAAATAGAAAGCATGTTTTATGACTTTCTATGGAATGGTAAGCCAGATCGTGTTAAAAGAATTAAATTAATCCAGGGTTACAATTCAGATGGACTCCAGATGGTCGACGTTAACACATTCATACATACCTTGAAGATAGCATGGATTAAACGACTCACAAACGAATCTGCTTTTACAGCGATTTCAAAAAACGAACATATCGATCCTTACAAACTTCTAATGTATGGCACGGCAAAGCTAACAAATGTAAAAACTCGCATATATAATGCATTCTGGCGTGATGTTATTGACGCATTAATTCAATTCAATAAAGCACTTGACATGGAACCAAACAAAATACTTACAGAGCCAATTTGGTTTTCAGATTACACGAAATTTAGAACTTCCACAGTTTCGTCGTGGGAAAAACAAGGGCTTAGCTTTATCGGTGATCTTTTTAACTCAGATACAGGGAATCTTCTGACAAGGGAAGAAATAAAAACAAAATACCGTATCTCAATGTCATTCCTATGCTATGAATCCTTAATTCGAAGTCTTCCCCACGAAGTAAGAACAGCAAACAATGTATTACTCCAAAGACCAAACATACCGTACAGGACACAAATAGTACTGAGTAAACCAAAAGTCAATAAGTTCATATACACATTATTAATAAAGGCCTTAGGGGATAAATATAAAGCATCGAGTGACAAATTAAAGCAAAAATGGATCCGCGACATTGGATGCTTCCAAGTAGGAAGTATGTGGCAAATAAAAACAGCTACAAAATCTGTGTATTTATCATATCTTCATTATCGAATAATCAACAGAATAATAAGCACGAATACTTTCTTACATAAAATAAAAATATCGAACACGGAATCCTGCACCTTTTGCAAGCGAGAACCAGAAACAATAATACATTTGTTTTGGTACTGCTCAGTAACCCAAACATTCATGCAAAACACAGCAAGTTTTCTCAACACGAAATATAACTTAACCTTTCCAAATGACGTTCAGTCATGGTTCTTTCTTCAAAATAAGGACTCATTGCAAGTACTTATAATAACAATCACCAAAGCAGTAATATTTAAAGCACGTAATAACTGTGAGAAGCCGAGTGTAGAACATTTGGTAATAGCAATTAAAAACGAAATTCAAAAAGAATACCTTGCAAGTCGCATTAATAATCAGATTGACAGGTTTGAGCAAAAATGGAAATCATTGAGGCACATTCTCCGTTAAAAGCGAATTTCTTTGTATTATGTGCTATAGCAGATTTACTCATGATAGCGAGAGCACACATACACAAGCACACAACTCCACCTACACAGTTACACGCATACCAACATAAACACACCTACATAAATACATGTATAGTCGGGTACTGTCCATCCCCACTCGGGGAACAGTTCCCGCTGAAGATTAGGCCCCCGCCCCTAAGACCCATCCGGGCCAACCCGGGACCGGCCCTCCCTGAAGGGGCCGGTCGGCCGGCCGGGCG